AGTCAAATGCTTTATAATATAGTATAGATATATATATACACATACATACATACACTTTTTCTTTTAAAATAAGAAAAAGAAAACGAAATTTCATGTTTTAAATTGTGTATATTTAATTCAGTATATTGTTACGTACTTTGTTTAGACATATCTTTTATAAGTTTCATTGTACACAAAACTTATATCAGTTAATATTTATGTTAATTTATGATACTCTAATTCTTAAAAATTCAAAAGAGCAGTAATGTGTCTCAAATCAGTATTCTTTAAGTTGCATTTTTTTTCCGAAATTATTGCAGAACACTATTTATTTAAGCGCCTCATCGACAGTAATACGTTAGAAAGTCATCTCTTTCTCGAAACACCCCTCCCTGTCTAAAACCGCTTCATACCCCACGTCATCATGGCTTCCCGTATCTCTTTCTTTTGTTTCTCACTACAAATAAATGTTCGAACTCCCTGACCCCTTTACTGAAACCTTTGTAGTTTTATTCACATCACGTCGATATAGGTTTTGAACTTCTCCGTATCTGATGGTCTGTCAGTTAGCGTTTTCTTAGTTCAATGATCGTTTTTTTATGTTTATTACAATTGATCTGGGTTTTTTTAGACTAGAGATGAATGTTTTACATGTTTTTGATAGGTGCTCAGTAAAAGTTCTACATGCTCAATGAAAACATCGATAAAGCATAAATAATGTTAAAATACAGGCTTGATTGAGTTCGATTCATGCTCGATACTACACGTGCTCAATAGTGGCAGTGACGGTGAGAACGACGATGAAAATGACAATAACAACGACATGGATCAATATGCTTTCTAATACTGTTATTATTGATTGATCATACGAGTATAAAAATATAGTAAAGCCATTTTTCTTGAAAATAAGAGAGAAAGTTATAATAAATTCAATAAAAAAATATTATATTATTATTGGATAATCTATTGATTTAAATTACATGAATTTAAATAAACTAGAAGGGTATTCGTGCAATGCAGTAAGATACATCTTGATTTTAATATATTTTTTTATTTTTTTTTATTTCAGTCGATGTTATAGTATGGTGTTATATGATTTTGAAAAACGATTATGTTTTTATTTTTGAATAAAATATAAATTTGAAGATATTATAAAATTTTGACAAAAATATAACGATATTGATATCAAATTAACTATTTAAAATTCCTAGTTTTGGTATAATTTTTTAATTCAATTTTTTTTATAATTTAATTTAGGTTCAATAATGAATAATTTATATTTGGTTTAATAATATAATTTTCTTATAAAAATAATAATTAATTATTTTGTTAAAACTCGATATGTTAATTATATTTTAAACTGAGATGATATTTATGTTTATCCGCAGTTAGTTATAAGAATTTAAACATGAAACTTTAATAAATTGTACTTATGTATAATTTATTTGTATCTTGAATTTTAAATTATATGATATACAATACTTTATGTATAAAAAATAATTTTTAAGAATTTTTGTCAAATATTTTATAATATTAATATAAATTTACAAGTATTTTTAATATCGTAACAAAATTAAAATTTTAAAAGAATAAGTAAAATTCTCTTAAAAAACAACCGTTAATAAATGCAAAGCAACAACCAACCATATTTGTATGGGTCCCACGGATTAAATGCAGCGCCACCGCCACCCCTACTTCAAAGGTGGTTGTCCGTTGAGTGGCACCGATCACACTATTTTATCTCCTTTTGTTCTTCCCAAAGCTCAAGCATCCATGGAGATAGAACAAGCCAGTAGCAGCGGTGGCTATTACCGACGCGGCGGCGATGGCGACAATGGTGATGAAACGGATGATCATGACGATGACGGCGGCGGATTTAGTTTGGGTGGGAGCACGAGTATGAGGGAACGAGCAACGTATTTGGTGTGGCGAGATCTAACGGTGGTGTTACCGAACTTCGGACATGGACATACCAAGAGATTGATTCGTGGAATCAGTGGTTATGCTGAACCAGGTCGAATCATGGCCATCATGGGTCCTTCTGGTTCTGGAAAATCCACTCTTCTCGATTCCTTAGCTGGTATTCCGGATTCTTCTCCTTTTTTCGAAAGATTCCAACCAATTATTTTGCTAAAGTTTTCATCTTGTTTGTCTCGATCATGATGATTACAGATAGATTATCGAAGAATGTTGTGATGACGGGTGACATTCTTCTCAACGGCGAGAAGAAAAAACTAAGCTACGGTGCTGTTGTAAGTGCCTAAAACTTGTTCGACGAAATGTCTACAAGAACATTTGCATGTTTTTCACTTTCTAAATCGTTAAAGAATTGCAGGCTTATGTGACCCAAGAAGATGTACTGATGGGAACACTTACGGTTCGGGAAACGATCACTTACTCGGCTTATTTGAGGCTTCCGACTTCGTTAACCAATGAGGAAGTTCGGGATATTATCGAAGGAACAATAATGGAGATGGGTTTGGAGGATTGTGCTGACAGTTTGATCGGAAATTGGCATTTGAGAGGCTTAAGTGGCGGAGAAAAGAAGCGGTTGAGTATTGCGCTCGAGATCCTTGTTCGACCACGACTCATGTTTCTTGACGAACCAACGAGTGGGCTCGATAGTGCGTCGGCTTTCTTTGTGGTTCAAGCTCTCAAAAGCGTTGCTCGTGATGGACGAACCGTGGTTTCATCGATTCATCAACCAAGTAGCGAAGTTTTTGCATTGTTCGATGACCTTTTTCTGTTATCCGGAGGTGAAACCGTCTATTTTGGAGAAGCAAAAGACGCTATCACGGTACGTGATAGAAACATCCCCTTTTGGGTCCGTCGGACAAATGACATCCTAAAAAAATTATATCCATGAACTTCTCACAGGTTTTTGCATACTTATTCTATACGTTCGAATGCCACTTCAATTCAGTAGAAAGTCACTGAACTTGTCAATGGACTAAATAATCCACCAGGTTTTTAGTGTCATCCGTTGGATTATCTGGTTCAGATTGTAGATATAATTCAAGAGTTAATTGGCCTTACGGGTCTCGTGAAAAACCCTTGGTCTCATATATATATATATGCATGTGTGCATGTAAAGGATTCTTTTTGATCCTCACATGCATGTCATTCATTTATGTCATCTTTTCGGTTCTAATTCTTCGTTCATTTTGGTTTGACAGTTCTTTGCAGAATCGGGATTTCCATGTCCGACCAAGAGAAATCCGTCCGACCATTTTCTACGTTGTATCAATTCAGATTTCGACATCGTAACAGCCACCTTGAAAGGATCACAAAGACATTACGTGCGTTTTTCTTCTTCTTGTTTTCTCGGTTAGTTTGAAGTCGTTGTCTAATCTAACTAAGTGGATGCAAATTCTTTTGATGTTTGTTGATCTTCAGGAAGAACTGAAAGGATCAGACGCTTATAAGAACTTTTCAACCTCGGAGATCAAAGCGACACTTGTCGATAAATACAAGTGGTCGAAATACGCCAAGAAAACGCAAGCGAAAATGAAACAAATATCCACGTTTGTAAGTTTTTCTAAATCGAACACTTTTCAGGTTACTAAAATTTATCGATTTCCCATGTGTCCATTCTTTACTAAACCCCAAGGAATGACCAATTCTGTGATCGGAAGAATTGAAAGGAGTTCGAAGATTCCAATGGCTTTAAAAGAATGAAATTTGGTCAATGGAATTGGCAATTCCAATCCTGTAAACCAATCAGCACCTAAGACTAGTTTTTTTTCAATCCAGAATGGGCCTCAAACGAGCACGGTTACTACGAGCCAAGCAGGGTGGTGGAAGCAACTCACGACGCTAACTCGCCGCTCATTCATAAACATGTCCCGAGACATCGGATATTACTGGCTAAGGGTGATCATTTACTCAATCGTATCCATTTGTGTTGGTACAATCTTCTTCGACGTTGGTACAGGGTACACCGCCATCCTAGCACGTGGTGCTTGCGGTGGTTTCATAACCGGTTTTATGGTTTTCATGTCCATCGGAAGCTTCCCGTCTTTCATCGAAGATATGAAGGTACATTCCCAAGTCTTATAATCAAAATTTTCCCCAAAAGTTCAGTGGTTCAATGGTATCTAGGTTACGGGTAAATTCTAACTTCCGTGGAGGTCAAGGGTTCAAGCCTCACCAAATGTCTAAAGTGTGACTATCTGTTTAATTGGTTATTTGCATTGTTGCTTGCAGATTTTTACTCGAGAAAGGCTCAACGGCTACTACGGGGTTGCAGTGTTTATACTGTCGAACTTCCTTTCATCGTTGCCGTTTATGCTTGCAATTTCGTTAGTCACCGGGACTATCACATGGAATATGGTCAAATTCCGGCACAGCTTCTCTCGATATGTTTACTATTGTCTTAATCTCTTTGCCTCAATCGCAGTGGTCGAGAGTTGTATGATGGTTGTCGCATCGCTAGTTCCCAATTTCTTGATGGGGATCGTTACCGGGGCCGGAATCATCGTAAGAACCGAAAAACGAGATCATCAAATTAGCGTCAAAATATTCGTACCGTAAGACTAACAACATACATTTGTTACAGGGAATCATGATGATGACTTCGGGTTTCTTTCGCCAATTACCCGATCTTCCAAAGCCATTTTGGCGCTATCCGGTGTCGTATATAAACTATGGATCATGGTCGCTACAGGTAAAGCGAATCGAATTGAATTTATGCTTTCAAACGCTTTTCAACACTACAACAAATCTATAAATCCTATTTTGTTTTAGTGGAAGTATATAATATTCATATATAGCATTTATGCATACAGACTTCTCACGTTTGACGAGGTTTTAACCTTTGGTGTCTCGGGAGGTTGGGTTTTACCGACAACCCGGATACCGCTATACCAATGACCCTTTTATAATCTTGTATCTTATTATCTGATTGAAAATGCAGGGAGCATACAAGAATGACATGTTAGGGTTGGTGTTCGACGGACTAACACCGAGCGACCCAAAAATGACCGGAGCAGAAGTGATCACGAAAATGTACCGGTTACCGTTGAATCACTCGAAATGGTGGGACTTATTTGCCATATTCGCCATTCTTGTCGCGTATCGCGTCATTTTCTTCATCGTTCTCAAGTCCAAGGAAAGAGCATCGCCGTTTTTCCGGTCTATGTATGCAAAAAGAACGCTTTATCGTCTAAACAAGCGGCCGTCATTCAAACGATTCCCTTCTTCTAGACGACACCATAATCTTCGGCCTTTGTCTTCACAAGAGGGCCTTAGTTCCCCGATTCCGTAGCTTAGAAAAACGTCCTACAACCATACGCTCGTTAGAATCCTCGAACTATATGTTTTGTTTTGATTATTCGCTTTTCCGAATTTATACTTAGATAAATCGACAAATAAACCTCTTTCGTCTGTTTGATGGTTCAAAGCTATGATACGAAGAAGAAGGGCCTGTATTCGATGAGGCAATACTCGATTTTAATCCACAAAACCAATGAATTAAACATAGATCGGGCGTAAACGGGTACCGGAATCACTAAAAAAGAAACTCATCTCGATCATCTATCTATTTATCCGAGGCCGTTCACTAAACGATTATCCGGATAAATGTTTACTGGTAAAATTCAAGACTATCTATTACTTATCAGGTAAGATTTTAGTCCATCAAAATAATATCGTATATAACAATTAATCTTGGCAAGCGTTAATCGTGGTAAGAATGGTCACCCACACTTATAAGGTAAGACACTCGGTTCTTGCCTTAGGTCTTAACGGATAAGATTCTTGATCCTTGTCATATTCATCCGGAAAGGTAATATGATTTGGTAAACGCTTACCCGGTTAAGCATTTGGTAGACGGTCCTTTAGAGAAGGTTTTCTTTTTCTTCATTTTTTAAAAAATAATACGTTATTCATGTATTAAAAAGGTTTTTAGGTGGGTATAAGTGGTACGTTTGTGTTAACTTGGTAAGCTTTAGGGGGTTGTTCGGTTCGTTTTTTATTAAGATCTGTACGGATAAAGCTGTTTGTATTGACAAAGTTGTTTATATGATCGATAATAAACAATCTAAATGTAAACAATGACAATTTTATCTCTAGTCTATATGAAACACTATTAAAACATTTGTTTGATAAAAAGTTTGAATATTTGACTTTGAATAATTAAAGAAATATCAATATAAAAGTTTTTTAAAATAAAAACAATTTGATCTAACATGAATATATGATGATACAAATTTAACGATATATGATTACAACATTAAAATACTATTTTATTATAAAATTTAAAATAACCAGATCTCCTTGAGTTTTCTCTCTCTACTAATTCATTCATTTCTCTTGTTTTTACTGCTACACCAGGAGTTACTTCATGTATTGTTTGACGTAAGACAAAGGACATCATTTTTGTAGCTGAGTGTAGAGGTGTAAACAATACAAGACAACTCGCGAACTACTTGAGATCGACTTGGTCAAAACTCGACTCGAATGGGCTCGGCTCGAACTCGGGCTCGACTCAACATATTAACGAGTCGAGTCGAGTTGAGCTACCCAATACTAGACTCAAAAAGCTCGTGAGAACTCGATTGTTTTATATGTAATTAGTTTTAAAACATAATCAATTTTTATGATAAAATTTGTAACCTATAAATAATAAAAATGTCTTATATTTTTAATTATTTAAACAAAATTATGCATTTTTTTATTATAAAAATTAATCATTTTTTTTTATTAAAAATCATAATTAAAAAAAACAAAGAAAAACTATAAAAAAAGTTAGTGAAATTCTCTCACATTGGAAGAGAGACGGGAAAGGAAGAGAGAAAAAATGTTATAAAAAAAGAGAGAGATGAATGAAATTTATAATTTTGTTTTTTTGATGATTAAGTTTGAAGTTGATCTCTTTAATTTTGTAAAAACTAAGAGAACACCGTTAAGTGTTAAATTTTATAAAAGAAAAACCCTAAAATTTTATAAATTTCAATGGGTGAACTTAGTTCGAGTTTGATTCGAGTTGCAGTTCGAACTTGATTTGAGTTTAGTTCAAATTTGATTCGAGTTCAAGTCGAGCTTTGATTTTTATTATTCGCGAGTTTTCGAGGAATTCAAGCTTGAAAATTGAGTTTCGAGTTCGAGTCGAGTATATCGATACTCGAGCTCGACTCACATCATTTATACCCCTAGCGGAGTGATTCAGCCCATGACTGGCCGAATAAGTCCATACTGAACGACTGGATATGGCTGTGCGAATAAGTCATATACTTTATATAGACATATAGCCCATTAAACTCCTACCGAACAACCCTTAGATACCCTATCAAACATTCTCCAAAATTTTTGACTATTTTTAAATTTTTTTGACTTTCCATTTGGTTTGAGAAAAATTACGATTTTCATCCTTATAATTGTGAAATTACACTTTCAATCTGGTCGAAATTTTGCTCGTTGTCAACTCACCATTATTTATTTATTTATGATTCCTGTAGTTTATAATTTATTATTGTTTTCGTCTCTAGCACTAAATAGATTTATTCTTAAGAACGAAAATAACGATAGATAAAAACAATAGGGACGAAATTAGCAACAAATTACAAACTTGAAGGATGAAAATCGCAATCTTTTACAAACCACAGGGACTAAAATTGTAGTTTACTCAAATATTTATTATTTAATTACGTAAAGTATGCCGCGGCAGAAGTTGAAACCTAAACCCCTGAAACCCTTTGCAGTCTCTTCTTGGATTGGTGTTTTGGCTTTCCTCCTTGCTAATTCCCACTTGATTCGACTCTCCGACGAGCTCCTCCTCTTGTGCTGCTGTCGTTTGCCCCCTGCTCTGCTCACCGGCGGCCTGCTTTGGCCCTGCTCTCTCGTGTTGTGCTGTTGCTGCTCTGCTCACGGCTTCATCTCTCAGACTCGGTAAGTCGATATTATAGGGTTAGTCTATAGTATTAGGGTTCAGTTTCAGTAAAATAGCAAAATGGGTAATTGAAAGCGTTGAAATCTGCTTCTCAGCTTCTGTTATGGTTGGATATTTGAGTCGGATATTTCAAATAGTTAACTTCTGTAATGTTGAAATGCTTTCTGCTTTCTTATATGACTTAAACCTTTTGATTTGTTTGAAAGTGTGAAACTTGGATATTTTTTTGAAAGTGATAATTATTGAGTGCTTTTGTCATGTTGATATGCTTCTGCTTTCTAGTTGGGACTTTAAACTTGGGATGTTTGTGCAATCTGTGATCATTATATGGTTGGTTTCAGTTTGAATGTTGTTCTGGAAAATGGAACATGTCATGTTGAAGGTGCTTTTCCATATTTATATGGTTGGTTTCAGCTTGAAGTGGGTGTTTGCAACTGGTTGAAATTAAATTATACTGTTTAATCTTCATGTTGTCTGATTCAAGTAGATGTTTATGTTTGTTCCATTCATTCATTGTAGTCCAGATGTAATTTGGTTTTAATTGATACCTTATTAGTTGTACTAATATGACGTAGACATCGCGAATCCAGGATACAACGCTGTATACAAACGTAACGATGGTGGATTCAGAGTTTGCATTTGAACCTCCAAGCGATGAAGAAATTGACTATGAAGATGTTAATAGTGGCGCGGATGATGAAGAAGAAAACAGCGATGTTGAAGAAAAAGGAAAAAATCATAAAAAAACACAATCTCCATGGGACTTTTCTTCATATACTGAATCAGTTGCGGAGGAACATGCTCGTCGAAGCACCACTTCTATCGATGATAAAATCTCGAAAATCATCCAACAACGTAGTCATGCGGATTTAATACAAGAAAAAGACGAGGTTGATGAAGATGGCTCTACTGATTCTGAACCAGACCGGCAAGTAAGTAGTATTATTTACATAATGAGTTATAACAAGAGCTAGAAATAGATATGTCGTATTTTATTTTTGAGAAAAAGTGCTAACAGCATTAAACTAAATAATAACAATTACTGTGAACAAAATTCCCTGGTATTAAGTTTTCAGTCAAACCACATAGAATTAGTAATTTGCGAGGTGTTAGAATTGGCATCAAGGATCAAAATGCTGTTCATTTTCTTGGGGCAGCATATTTATATGCTTCTGACTCCAAAGCTATTGAATATTGGATTTATTGTGGAAATATGAGAAAGTTGATATTTTTTGTGGCTCTTATCTAATTCTTTCTACAAGGATAAAAATGTGTAAAATAACACATACCGAATAGCCTACAGTTCACTCACTCAGCACATTGACGCTTAACAAGTAGTGTCTAACACCACTGTATTTTTTTTGGAAGGCAACACAAGTGTATTTTATTAAAATATGAAAGAGATAACATTGTGTCCCTGAGTAAAATTTATTCGTAAAGTATTGGAAAGGAGTAAAACTACACTTGCTTTGCACTGCATGCTCAAGCATGTTACACATGGCTGGATAATGCTTAGGGTACAATTTCTATGATTTTGGGTTTCTAAATACTTTATAATATTTACTAATACAAAACAGGAAGTTAGAAACAATTATGAGGGACAATGATAATTACTAAGCTTCCAAGTACAGGCCTCTTTTGCATGAGGAGCTATAGTAGCGCTCTCGTATCTTATAAAGATATTTAAAAAGCCGTGACCTTAGAGCAAGATATTTCTTATGGCAATGAGGCCTTCTACACCCTTTTATTTGTAGGAAACCAATGTTTATTGTTTTGGAGAAAGTAAATTTTTGGGAATTATTCCAAATGGATACCAGTAATTAGTAAATTTTCACACCACATTCAAGCATGTAGCTCTCAAAGGAATAAGCTGTTAGCGAGTGAAGGACATGGTGAGGGATGGATGTAACTGTAAGCTCGTTTTTTCATGCTTAAGGAAGCTGCTAGGGAGTGAGACCGACTAGTTTGTACATCAGTTGTGTTAAATTGATGAGACTAAGAGCTTGTTCTTCAAGTAACCATGAGGATGAATTCCCAACATTTATTAAATCAACCAAATTATGTGGGTTCTGTTTTTGGGTGGCGGTGGTGTGTTTGGAGGTCTGTATCATCATAATATCTTGTCAAATTATTGTGCTCTAGATGTCTTGTGATAAGGCTTGAACTTGTTTTAGGAAATGGTAATGCTAGAAGGCACAATATTAAACTAATTGACTGCAATTTTTAGGAAGATTTTAAGCCGGAAGAAGACGATGAGGTTACTCCTACAGCAGGCGGTGGGGACAGTAAGCAGTTCTTTGCAAAGGCAGATGGTGTTTCCTTTCATGCTAATTCCTTCATGGATCTCCACCTTTCCAGGCCATTGCTTCGAGCTTGCGAAGCCTTAGGATACACCAAGCCAACACCTATTCAGGTTATGATCATTCACTGCCACCTTAGGTAGCATTTAAATGTTTCATGTTCTTTTCATATGCCATATGTTAAATTTTGAGGTTTAAAATCTAGGCAGCATGTATACCATTGGCGCTGACTGGACGTGACATATGTGGTAGTGCAGTTACAGGCTCTGGGAAGGTATGTTGCGGATCTATCATCATGGTCTAATAATTTGTCATATAATTGATGCTGCTGATATAAAATTATTGTTTATGCATAAATAGAGCTCACTTCATTTTGTCAAGTGAATAGTTCGCAAATTATTAGAATATCTATATAAGTAAATATTATTGAATATTTAAAGATGTGTCTTAATTAAAGCTGAGTAATACTTTGGGTTCAAACTTTGCAGACAGCTGCCTTTGCCTTGCCGACACTAGAGAGATTATTGTTTCGTCCAAAACATAGACCTGCAATAAGGGTCCTCATCCTTACTCCTACAAGAGAGTTGGCGGTTCAGTAAGTGTTCATGTTTTCAGCTCATGTTGTTTGTCTTTGATGTTTGATGATCCATTTGATGATGGTGACATACTAATATTTTGAACTGTGTATTGGATTCTTCCCATGATTATGATTTTCCATGCCTCTAGAGGGCCCTGTCTTTTCTACCATATTTTTTAAGGATAACATTACTGTGTCATGCATGTTGATCAGCGTACTTGTTATATGGAAGCAAAGTTTTTGAGTTGCTAGTTTTTTGGTACCTGCAATATTTTACAAGGATAGAAAAATAAGTTTTTAACTTGCTAGTTTTTCCTCACTCTTTTGTCCATTCCTGTCAATTCAGTTACATGCTCCCTTATCATAGTTGGTTGTACTGAGCACACATCCCATTTAGGTTCTGTCACCTAGATTAACATGGCGTGACTCAGATTGTTAATCCTTATTTATTCAATAATATTTCAGTTTTTTCTCAACTGATCTTGTCAGGTGGAGAAGTTTATATATTTGATATTCAAAGGTGTATGATTCTGTTAGGATGATTTACAACTGATCTAGTGTATACTTTTATATTATAACCCTTAAGAGTCTGGGTAGGTATTTTCATGGATTACTTATGATACTTGTAATAGGTAGAAATTGTATGGCAAGTGATGCATATAATGAGTAGTTTTCAATATTTGCACAGTGGGCAATAGATTTTAAGCATTGGTAAATGTAATGCTCGTGAGATGCTTGGAAACTCTGAGGCCACTTTGATTTTGTTGTGATCTTTTAAGTTCTCATAATGCTGATTGCTGGAGTAGAGCGTAATTTTGTATATATGATTTAGTCAAAGACAATTGCATGTATTAGGACTAACTATAAGGCTTTCATTTATGCTATTTTGTTACTTGGAGTTATGGAGCAGTATAACTAGCGTCTAATATCTTCTTTATTTAAGTCGTGTAAGCTTTGCCCACTTCCTTGTTTGACGTTGCAATTGATTTTTGTAAAATTGTGTTTTGACTTGGCTATACAGGATTCATAGCATGATTGGAAAACTTGCACAATTTATTACGGACATCAGATGTTGCCTTGTTCTTGGTGGGCTCTCAACTAAGGTCTGTTCACCATCTCGTATTTTCAGATCAGTTTGATAACCCACATCATTACAGTATCCAAACTCAAACGTGCATTCAGCATCTGAGTATCAGTATTCTTTTGTTCAAGTTTTCTTGGAGATTGCTAAAATATACAATAGAAGATGATTGCTATTGACAGTAGAAAAGAAATCAAATATTTCACTGAAAACCAAACCATGCTAAAATAAGTTATCAAAAACAACACATAATGATCAAATATGGGTACAAGATAATCAAATATGTAAACAGATACATCCAACAATGTTTAGATGTTGAAGGGATTGAATGTATGATTACCATATTTTGGCTCCATTTACAATTTGGATATATTCTGTTGATTACAAATCCCATTTGCTTTAAGAGGATATGGATAATATCCATATAAATGAATATACATGTGAACGGTATTTGGATTTTTGAATATCCATTGGCAGCCCTATCAGCATTTGCATTTCGTGAACCTTATTTACTGCAGTTAGTTCATGTATGTGCAGCATGCTATTAATGATTCCATGAGGGAATAATTTGATTATTTGGCTAGAAAACAGAGGAGCAAAACCAACATCTAGTACTGAAACAAATGAATAATACATTTCTTACATCAAAACAGGAACAGTAGTCAATCACCTTTTAAAACGTGGTGATTCTGAATTTTTTATTGCCTTGAATTTTAAATTATGTTCTAAAAAAAATGATCCTAAATGCATGTCAGGTGCAAGAAGCAGCATTGAGATCCTTGCCAGATATTGTTGTGGCCACACCTGGACGTATGATAGATCATTTACGAAATTCTATGTCTGTGGATTTGGATGATCTTGCTGTTCTAATCCTTGACGAAGCAGATCGTCTTCTTGAGCTTGGATTTGACGCCGAGATTCGTGAGCTGGTAATGCTAAATTCTTGAAGTTTATTGTTTTTGATTCGTGATCTTTAACTTCTGGATATCTGGTATACCCTTGCAAGTGTCATTTAAAGTGCCCTAGAAGATCAAGAGTAGGCACATAAGGAGCCTGCTCATCTTTTTTTGTATTTCTTATAGATAGTACTTTAAAAGGATGCTGTTAGACCATCCACATCCTTGCAATCCATTTACACTTTCAATTGTGCCACATCAGCTTTTGCAATTATCTTCCACACACCTGCAATTCATCTACAACACTTTCAACTGTACCACGTCACCTACACTTTCAAAAGTGGTTCCCACTACAACATTTATTAACTATTTTATAAATTATTTATATATACATTCTAATTATTTTTTTAATTAATAACATGTTTTATTTTAATTCAATGTTAATTAAAACAATTAATATATGATATAATATGATATAATTTTATATAATTATCAAATTTAATGTTTAAAATAATTTAATTTATTATATAATTAATGTAATTAAAAATATATTAACATTATTAATTTATAAAATTAATTGTTTTGTATAAAAATAGTTTATTTAAATAATTAAAAGAAAAAAATAAAATTGGAGAGAAGTGAGTGGGCCATGTGGCTTGCAAATTGACTTGCAAATTTTGCAAGTAAAATCCTATGTGGCACAAAATTGCATTTTTGCAATTGCTTTTGCAATCCATTTGCAAGCCCCATGTGGGTGCTCTTACTTGTCTATTGTGATTTGGTTTCACAGTGGAACTCATGAGTGTATGGAACAGTTTTTAGTTTATTTAACTATCATTTTTAACCATTGAAGTGTTAGGTTTCACATATGTCACTTCTTTTCTATGTCGATTAAAATTATTATAATCATCATGCTTCCTCACCTGCTGCATTAGACATAAACTATGACCTCAAAGAACTTTTTGTATTTGTTTTTAATAACAAGTAGACATACGGTATACCCTGATCCATGTATGCATTTGCAATCTAACTATCCAGGTGAAATCCACCACATTAAGCTTTTCCAGAGTTTGATCTCTTAGAAAGCCTTTGTTTCTCAAATTGTCATAGATTCAGATCTAGAGAGAAAGAGATAGCTTCTTTTCTGTTTTCGGGCACAGGAAAAGTGGTTCAGTAAACTGATTATGCAGGACAAGACACTAACAGGAAAGATTAAGAGATGTCAGTTGCACCTCTTGAATGCCCAACTCAACATGAATAGGACTCCACCTGTACAGGAAATTAACAAAAAACACACGTCTTTTGCTGAACAAGAGTTGCATTAATAATATGGAAGTGGCCAATGTGCTCGATGAAGAGTAACTTCAATAATGGCTTAAAATACAAAAAAAACATGGTATAATTTCTTAATTGTTACACTTTGGAAGCTGGAGCATGTATAATTGTGTATTAAACATACCAGACTTGCCATATTTAGGATCGATTCATGGCATTTGAAGGGGCTTAGGCAAAAGATTAATCACTTGATCTTCAGGAGCGCACATACTGGTTCAATAGAAAGAGGTTCGTAAGAAGCACCAATCCCTTCGAGAACAAAAGTGGTAGTTCAACATCAATCTGTTTTGTAGGCTGATAAAGCATACGAATCGTGGAGATGTGATAGCTACCACATTATCACAAATACACCTCTATAACAAGACATAGAATCTTCCACTCCTGTAATGCTGTACCTACCGTCTCACCATTGTCAATTCACATGCTGTACACACCATTGCCCGATACTCATCCCCAGCGTTAGAAAAGAAATACCTTACTCTAATTGAACACAAGATTTTATCAAAGAGATACAACACCCGTTCGTGCAATTAAATGAATAAGATACCCTGTATCCTCTCCCCCTAGTTAAGTGATTGACAATAGTTTTTATTCAATTAACCATCACGTAATTCTGAGTGATGATTGATATATTTTCTGTTGGCCTTAGCTTTGCAAGTCCCATTCCAAAGGTTCATAGAAGAGTCGAGCTTGAGACTTGGAAAATTTATGTGAAGCCTAGTTGACCATTGAACAACAGTGAATAGCACAGTCAGTCATATGTACTTGAAATGAAATTGTATCATTCTTTGGCTACTCCTAGTCCTCGTTTCATTTGATGCATTTGGTAGTTTCTCAATGGAGAATATTGGGCAGGGGAATAGTACTGGAATTAATTGCCTTCAGCAGTGTTCCCTTGGAATTTACAGGTAGAATGTTATGCTAAGAGGCCTTCTTTATGCTATCTAGTCCTGGTGCGCCATGAATTTAGCATCTGTGTTCCCCTTCTTTCTTCTGTTCCTTCTACTCAGAGCTTCGTGTTCCCTTCATATGAGTTTTTTGGTGCTCAGGATGATCCGGATATTTTTATCAATGTATGTTGATATGTTGGGTTGTCGGGTGATGATTTTACAATATCACTACATGTAGAGAACGTTGTAAAATTATGATGTTTTCTCACTCTTTTTGGTTCTCATTGCAGGTGAGACTTTGTCCCAAGCGTAGACAGACTATGCTGTTTTCAGCTACTATGACCGAGCAAGTTGACGAGCTTATCAAACTATTGCTGAACAAACCCTTGCGTCTTTCTGCTGATCCAACTACAAAGCGCCCATCGACCTTAACAGAGGAGTATGTGCAATAACCTTTTTGGGAACTGATAATCAAACTTTTGAGACATACTGCTCTATCTGATCTCAAACTTAGATGGCTGCCTACAAATTTTTTATTTTTTACTTGGCATTATCAGAACTGTAATCACGTGGCTTTTAGGAGAATATTCTGTTAGATAACAGTTACATAATGATATGCAGCTGTTGATTGCATTTGTAAAAGCTCTTCACAAGTTTGTCCAACATCAATTCCTCATATAGCTTCCCTGATTGATTAATGTTCGAGCAATGGCCCTTGTCCCATTCTTTGGTGACCAGGATATGAAGGAAGATTTTCTGAGAAAATTTACCAATTTTTTTCGTCTTTTTTGTTTACAGGGTTGTTAGGATACGGAGGATGCGGGAAGGAAATCAAGAGGCTGTCCTCCTTGCGTTGTGTTCTAAGACATTTACATCAAAAGTGATTATATTCAGGTAACTGTAGACATTAGTGAAGTGTTTAGTGCCTATTAATGGTTCATATGTATGCCAATTCACATGAACCTCCTCCCACCACACATGCACCCACACAAAAAAATTACTGTAAAACAGTAGTGTTTCAGGCTTTATCATTTTAATCTTGTCATGATTGGATAAATTGGAGCTTTTCAAGGCAGCAAGACAGCTCTGCATAATGGCCATCATAATGTAGTTCTCTACAATGTTGTTCATGTGTGTAGGGGCATGTGTCATGGTTGGGAAAATGGAAACATTTCAAATTAATTTTAATTTTCTAAAAGCTATACATAGATGCCAGCATGGTGTATTTCTCTATCATGCTGTTTATGAGGGTAGGCCTCATACTTCGGGTTGTGGTGTTGGAAGAACATTAAAGGGGATAAATCCACAGTGACTCCAAGCGAAGAAAGTCCTTAGATTACTTAACGTCACTTATTTAACTTGTATTCCAATTTGATGAAAACTTCTCTGTTTGGCTTCCTGGTGGGGTGACAGTTTTCTATCTTCTGGCCTAAGATTTTGATTTTGAATATCAGTTACTGTTTGTGATAATGTTAAGCTATATTTTTTCCAATAAAATGTGCCATCACTTACGTAGTGTTTGGTATGCAGCGACAGAATACAAAATGGAATGGGCCATTATGATGAAGTTAAAAAAACACATTTGAATTCCATATTCTTCAAGGAATGTGATTCCTTCCATTTGGTTGGTTTTCATTCCTTGGGGCCTGCAATCACTATTTTATCTCATGCCTTTCTTCGTTCATGGTTCGATATGGAAGTTGGTGACCTGATGACAGGGGAGCCGGCGACCGAAGCCCCGGTGAACGACCTAAAATGCCTAATAATAAACCAAAATCGCCCCGTAACTTCGGGAGAAGAGGTGCCTCCTCAGCCATCTCTGGCGATTAATCAACACTTTGAAGTGCTTTTCTTGCAGTTGTGATTGATCAAGAAGGAAATCCAAAAGGAAATCCTTTGTCACTTGATTAAATCCAACCAAACAGACCCATGTAGTTTTTGACTTGATGCAACTATTTGGGCCTGCCTGCTCCATCAAAGTATTATCATCTTGTTCATCTAAATGTCATATAGTTTTTGACTGTTGTTTATCCGTTACATATTGTCTTCTTCCACCTGTTAGATGCATTAACATTGATATTACGTATTTTGTTTTGTTCTTACCAACTGATGGACTCATCATTCTGTGTTGTACCTGTCCAAAATACATTTGATGTTATGCATTATCAGTATTCACGTACTTAAATGAGCTGTGATTGTGTGTGCTGAAAGTTATGAAATCAAGTTGAACCTGCATTACTCATTTGTATGGTACTAGTTGGGACATCCATGATTGGAAGGAGTAGTCACACAGTTTATGCTACTGAATCACATAGAACATATAATTATCTTACTTGCTATTCTGATTAAATAGCGAATTCAACTGTGAATCTTGTTTGTTATACTGGTGTTTTATGTGTTGGACATTATTTTCTGGTGAGCTATGTTAAGAATGGTAGAAATTGCTTTAGAATTGTGTAGTACTTTTATGCAATGTATTTGCCCTGATTTGTTGAATTTGTATTACTGTCCCTGTCCCTATGATAGTGGGACAAAACAAGCGGCACACAGGCTGAAGATTTTATTTGGTTTAGCTGGCTTCAAAGCTGCTGAGCTTCACGGAAATCTCACCCAGGCTCAACGTCTAGATGTAAGTTATGGATTGCCAAGTCATACTCTGTAAAAGAAAAGGAAGTAGGAAATAGAACAAGCAATGTAGTTGTTTGTATGCCTTAATAGCCTTGCTGTCTGTACAGGCTTTGGAACTATTCAGAAGGCAGGAAGTGGATTTTTTGATAGCAACTAACGTGGCTGCTCGTGTAAGTTGTCACTCTTCCAGTTAGTTTCAGCCTGTTGGTTTGTATGCCACATAAAAGAGCTTAAATCATGGAAAGGATGCTACATAGTGCTAATGGGAATGCGTAACTGATTAATGGTTAACAGGGGCTTGATATTATTGGAGTACAAACAGTTATCAACTATGAGTGCCCACGGGATCTTACTAGGCAAGTTTGTCTTTATTGCTGCTGTTTATTACCGACATGTTTATGCAGTCTACATGATTTCTTTATACGTTCTCCCGTCGATGTGATGTAGTATGCATTTGCCTTAGGATAATAATGATCCCAACATAACAAGATTCTTACACTTATGCTGGCTTTGATTGCTAAATACTTGTCCTATATTATTCTTGTATCTGTATTGTTTTTTATAGTTATGTTCATCGAGTGGGTCGGACTGCTAGAGCTGGTAGAGCAGGATATGCTGTTACTTTTGTCACCGATAATGACCGGTCCCTCCTGAAAGCCATTGTGAGTATACTTCTATTCTTAACATGTTGTGGTTCTCATTTTCTGTCTTTTCCTTTGAGTGGTTTGTTAGGATGTTCATTAATTTTCTTCCCTTTTTCTGGAAGTCCGTATTTTGTGGTTACCCTTATATAAGTCTACCGAAAATTTGATCGTGTTATCGTTAACGAATCTCTAGTCTCATACTTACAGTTGTGGGATTCTGGCTACCATACTTGCAAACTCTAATTCAGACGGGATTATGTTACTAGTTTGAAAGTGAAACTAGGCATGCAATTCACCACAAGCAGTGAGCGGAGTTCAAACATATGAGAGAGCTCAGTAATTGTCTGCAATACAAGAAATGTTGCACTTCCTGAGATATGTGGTGATATAATATACTAATTACATACCTAATAGGAAGCCTTTGGATGGTTTTGTTATCTCAAATTCAGAATCTTGGAAAGGGGAGATTAGTATCAAGACTAGGGCATCAGGAGAGGTAGGGGTAGGCAAATAATAGCATGGGGTACGCAGTCGATTGGAATATACAGAAAACTGGCTGTAGATGTGGGATCACTGATATGTCCAGCCCTACAGTTGGCTCACTTATAACTTATGATGGGTTTCATTTCTCTGGCTGCACCAAGTAGTTTGTGGTATAAGCTTTTTTTGTGTGTCTTATTTGAGGAATCTTGTGGTTAAGATGAAAGTGGCCACAAGAAAGTACCCCCCCCCCTGCGGCTTTAGTTATAAAATGTTAAAATCACATTGCAGTTGGATATTGGAATCTGGCATGAGAACTTGTTCATCTTGAGGTGTGAATTTGAAATTTGATGCTTCTGTTTAGTGTATTTGGGTGTAGGCAGGTTGTGAAAGACTTGCCTGCACTTTCTTTCTTCTCTCCCTTTTTTTTTTGTTTTCTTTTGGTGTTGTAATCTTGTCAGTGAACTTCTTTAAGAAGTGTGACTGTACATTTATACAACAATCAGCCTTTTGCCTCTAGTGTGACTGTACTTTCATCACAGGTAAAAAGAGCTGGTTCAAAGCTGAAGAGTCGTATTGTTGCTGAGCAATCAATAACTAAATGGAGTCAAATAATTGAGCAAATGGAGGATCAAGTAGCATTAGTTCTTAGAGAGGAGAGGTTCATATCATCTTTCATTAGAACTTATCCTTGTGATTCTGATTTCTACTTCATAACATAAATACTTTTTAATATGGTGGTTCAGGGAAGAAATGGCACTAAGAAAGGCTGAAATGGAAGCCGATAAGGTATTCAAATACTGTCTATCATCTAGATTCAGTTAGTATAGTGGGACTTATTTGTTATTTTGCTAGACTTACACAACTGGTACCTATTTTAATATCTTCCTACCAGAATTGGAAAAATAGATGTGTGGTAGCATGTGGCTGTGAATTGCATTATTCTTTTACTACTGGAACATTTATTGTATTTCCGTAATCAATATATATATATATATATATATATATATATACACACACATAAAGCAAAGCTAAAAACACATGTTTAATGAGAAGTCTCTTTCATATTTATCTCTTTTCTCACATTGTTGATTTGTTTTTAAATGAGTTCATGTATTTGTGACTTGCAGGCAGAGAATATGATTACACACAGAGATGAAATATTTTCTCGTCCCAAGAGAACTTGGTTTGTTACAGAGAAGGAGAAAAAACTTGTCGCTAATGCTGGGAAGGTAATATAATTTCTTGAGACTTGAGAGTTACCACTCTTTAACTTTGTATATCGTAGCCGGAGGCTATTTTTATTTTTCTTTTAGTTTTATATCTGTGTTTTATTCGACATATTCATATCTTCTAAGCAAGTTCAATTTTGGTCACAGTTTTATAGCGTTGTGGAAATGAATCTATTTCTTTCGATTTAACTTTATATCACTTTATTCTCTATTTAGTCTCAAATAGGAGGGATTTTGTATTTATGTGATTGATCTGGTTTTGACTTGGTACTTTATCTTTTCAACCGGGATGTCAGGAGAACGGCAAAGGTTCTAAAAAGCAGGTCATGAGTGCTGAAGAAGCTGAAGAGCGTAAGAAGAAAGAAAAGAAAAAGCGAGAGCATGAGGTGTGTATATTTCTCTCTCTGGTTTTATAATATGAAACAAGAAATCACGATAGAATATATAAAGAAATAGAACCAAGCAATCAGAATTACACCAACAATTCATGATTACTTTTTTTTGCAGAAAAATCTTCCTAGAAAGAAAAGAAGGAAGCTTGAAGCATCTAGAGAGATGCTGGAGGATGAAGCAGAAACTGGGGTATGTGCAAAATCTAATCTATTTCTAGTTTTGTTATCGTGGTTGATGAAACACATACAGCCATTTGATCACTCGGTGCAGTAAGAATTTACGAAATGCCATTTTCAGGGAGATACTAGAAACAAGAAAGAGAAATCTGGAATTTCTCTTGTTGATCTGGCTTATCGGCGTGCAAAAGCAGCAAAGGGTGCTAAAAAGGCAGCTGATGCTGGTAAGACCGTGAGAACAGGGAAGAGAACAAAGAAGCCTTCCCATTCAACTAAATCAAGACCAGAAGAGATGAAGGAACTATTCCAGAGCGATATGAGCGAGAAGAAGCAAAAAAGAAGCGCCCAAGGAGGTGGGAAGAAGTCATCATCGTTTAAGAGCAAATCAAGGTACCAAGTCTTTTATACTTATTCTGGTTTCTTTAACATACCACCACTCATGCAATCTTGCACCGAAACACAAACAAAAAGGACATGGTATATTCCAGACGAATGCAGGGTCCCCTTGGGTGACAGATTTTGAGGCATTCTTGTGTTAGGCAAAGACGTTCTTAAATATGTCAGAAGGCCATGCATTTAAAAAAAACTTAAGGTCATTTAGCTAAATAATCCGGTTTTTTTGGGGGGGGGGGGGTAACATGTACGCAAAGCTTACCTGTCTCAAAAGACTGACTGTTTCTGAGAAGACAACACATACGAGAGACAGACAAGTTTGTCACATTGAAGTTGGCTCCTTATTAAATGGCCGAGCACTTATGACCTGAGCGGAATCCAAGCTTGCTCAACTTGGCCCGCACCCACTATAGCCTCGATCTTCGCGAAGTTTATTGGCACTCACAAACTGGTTCCTCTCTTCTCATCTACACCACCTAGTTTGTGCAAAAGGGTTGGTAATCGGCAACCCTGCCCCACCCCAAGAGCATCATGTTAGAGGCAAATCAGGTGCATGGCAGCCAGTTTGATGGCTGACTTAAAAGCCCCATGATCATAGTGAGCCCAATGGGATTGTAACTCCCTTACTGCGGTTGCCGTATTAAAACGGGCCCCACTCCGTCTCCAATGGATCTGTTCCCGGGAGTACCCTCAGAACCTTAGTCCGTTTGTGCAAGTATACCACTCTGGGATTAACCGTGATGGCAAGATGTTATCAATAGATTACAGGCCCTTGGTTCAGTTTGTTCTTTGTTTCTGGTGTTCTTCACATAGTAACATTATAAATCTTGTATATGGTACAGGTACAAGCGGAGATAGTTACGTTTTGCTTCGCTTGGCGTCGACTCTGATGTGAGCATCAACTCATTTGGTGCCAAAAGTTTTGGTGTTGCTGGTTAAATGTAGTTGGGATATTGGAAGGTTTGAGAAACTGATTTTGTACCACCAATCTAGTGTGGGAATTTAAGATCTAAAATTGGCTCCTGTTTTTATTTAATTACATTGAAACCCTACATCTTTGTAAATTGAATATTTGAAGACGAGCGAAATTCTTGATGTTTCTAGTCGCAAACGCCCCCACCCCCGAAGAATGGCATCAACGGTGGCCGTCCATCGTTCATCTATTATGCGCCTACCTACGTTCAAAACAGAACCACAACTTCAAACCCGTCCTCGTCCCATGGCGGTCCAAGCTCATCTCCAATCAGAGTCATTTAGGGATATGATCTTTAATTAGGTTTTTTATTAAATCTATAACCTCTTGATTTACCAAAGGAAAAATGGCTTTACGCGTATGAGAGAAGGTTATGGGGTTAATTAACGAAAATCTTATTTAAAGTTATATACCTAACAGTGAAGGGAGGGTAGATGATTTTAGAAGGAAAAAAAAAATGAAAATTGACTACACGTTTAAGGGTTGGTAGGAAGTGGAATCTCTGTCTTTGTCAGGGGAGGGGTGGGTGGCAACTGAAACGACGACATTAGTGACATGGTGATATTGGTAGTCAGAGGTGGTGGTATGTGAGGTGGGTGATAGCCGACGAGGACAATGGTAACATTGGCGTACCTCGCCCCCGCCACCCCCATCATTGCCCTGCCCTCGCTACCCACGGTTGGGTGGTGACGGAGAAGGGGTGGTTGTAATGCCGATAATAATGGCATGGGGGTTATCCCACATGGTAGTGATATATGTGACGATGACAATAGTGGCATGATGGTTGGTGGAGGTGGGGTTGAGTGGGTGTAAAGTGGTAGCTGTGACGACAACAATAGTGACATGCTGGTGGGGTGGTACAAGTGACAGGGTGGGGAGGTGGGGGCCTGACAATGACACGCTAAATTGAATTAAAAATGATGGAATTCAATTTCCTTCACTTATGTCAAGTAAAGATAAATTCACTAATTTGTATAATTTCACCTAAATTTTCAATATGTGAACTAAACAAAGGAATTGAAATTTAATCAAAGAAATTGATCATTCCAATTCGCTTGAAATCCTTTGAATTCCGCAAACCAAATAACCCCACAGTTTACAAGATTTGACTCTCCATAACATTCTTCTTTAATTAATTAAAAAATATAATAATATTACTTTTCTAAGACCGGTTCCTTTTTCATTGTGAACATTTATTTTGGGACACAAAAAGTTATTTTTGTCCAGAATGCCATAAGTCATTACAATTATATATTTGGTTAAACAATTTATACACTAAAACAATAGTAGAAAAATGACAAAAATGGCTCTCATGTGAGATTATACTAAATTGTGACGAAAATACGTATGAGCAATTTGATTTCCCACACTCGGGAAAAGCGGGCAATTAACAATAATTTTTCTGTGAACTTCGCGAAAATTGCCTCAGTTTGGAAGAATCTATGGATTCGCCTTCAGATCGCACTTCCTGCTTAAAGAGGATCGGAAGAGGTTGATTTCCCCGATGGAGAGGCAACCAACAGGCTGTGCTCAGTATTTTACAGCAGAAGCAAAGAAGTCAAATCAATGCAGCTTTTGTGCCCAGCCTAAAGATCCTATCCTCTTGTATAATCGAGTTTTACAATTTGTCGGATAAAAAGAATAGCATCTCGTTTGACAACATATCTGATAATACAAAATATGTTGCAAAAACTAAAATTGGTCTGCATCCGATTCCTATATGTGGTGGTGTTTTCTTTTTCCGTACTTGTAGTGATGACGATAATATAAATTCAATGGTATAATCCGGGATGAAACCACCCGCTATACGTACAATATACGTGTCGCAATTTGATTGCGTAAACATGATGGGAAATGGTAAGGTTTTAAGAGGTGAATTTTATTCTTATGATATGTAACTATACATATGTATTTCCCGTGTGAAAATAATTCCATAAATTTGAGTTTGTTGTCGTTTTTATTCGGTGGAAACGGTTTTGAAACCATCGTGGCGGTAATATTCAACGAGGGTGTGTTATGGCATCTATCATGGGGGTACCGAATTTGACGATGCACACATGATTGACAGTTCATTTTTCTAATTAATCTTACTTGATTATGCCGTTATGTTGAATACATAGGTGGATTTGACATAGGGTTGGTGTGCGTGTTTGTTCACAAGGGCACGCACGCCTACCGGATGGATGGAAAACTCTTGTACCTGACCATCACTCGTTATCCATATGCTTAGCCAATTTCCTCGATAAACCGTACTAACATTGGATGTTAACATTTCTGGGTAGTTCATCTGATAAGATTTTGAATTTGCCCCTCAACAGTCATTGTTTAAGTCCCCTCATCGTCAGAGGTTTCCATGGCAGTTAACTTCATGTCCTGTGAGATTAGTTAAAAGTATACACAAAGTCGCAAACATGTCCAGACACTTATTGTGGTTTGTTAGAATTTTTCAATTTTCGTTCATATGATTTACAACGAATAAAAGTATTAAAAAACGAATGCATATTTATGCACAATTCAAATGGAGATGACATTGATGGCGACACGTCAATTAAATGGGATGGAGGCGTCATGGAGACTCATTTACATGCAATTACTATTACTTTTCTGGCAATTTGACTTTTAGAGACCACAATTTTTTAAGGTAACTTAACTGATAAGATATGATGAAGATAAAATTTAAGATAGGTGTTTGTTTTTTTAAAAGAGATGTTGAAATCTGAAGTTTGATTTCACTTTTGGTTTTTAAGAGGTGGTGTTGAAGTCTGAAATCTGAATCAGTTAGACTGTTTGTTTTTGTAAACTAACAAATGTCTGAAGTCTGAAATCTGAATCAATAGTTTGCTTTTGTAACCAACAAAACATATGAATATGTATAATTTCTGATTTCACTTCTGTTTATGTTCCCAAGATTCCTTTAATTCTTCCTTCTCCTCTCGATCAAGCCTTCCATCCTTAATCTCCACCCTCATCCCACCACCAACCATCGTCCACCACCACTCCTCTAAAATCCAGCGCTCAAATCCACCTTTAAAATCGAAACAAATCTCCATCATGATGAAATTACTGTGATGAAAACTACAGGGACGAAAATACCTTGATTCACGAGGATAAAGGTGCACAACTACTGGTTTGCAGAGGAACGAAAACACACAGTGACAAAAACCCATAGGAAAGAAAACCCTCTTGATTTGGATTTAATTGTGGTCGATTTGAAGCCACCAGAGACGATGGAGGGTGAAATCGAGCGAATGATGAAGTAAAAATCGGTTCTCTAGATAGTTTTCAGGATTAAGAGGAAAATAAGTGGCTATGTTATCACTTAATTTTTAAGAAGAAAATAAGTGGCTAGGTTATCACTTAATTTTTAAGAGGAAAATAAGGGATAAATGACTCTAAAAAGAAAAGAAAAAAAACGGTCTGAATTACCTTATGTCTGACCGAATCAGACATAAGTGGTAAAATAAAAGCTTTTTTTTTAAAACAAAACACCACCTAAGAAATAATTCATAAAATTGTTCATTGGTTCCTTGTCGAAACTATATAAGAAACCCAAAAGTTAAGCTGAAAAGTAAGGACTCAAACTCAAGTCTTCTGTACAAAGGCAGCAGCAATATTAACCATCTACCATGACTTATTAGTCCAGTTTCAAAGAGCACTCGCTCGACAAAACAATACAGTGACACCTTTCGTAAACGCATCTTTTTCCCATTTAAAATGGAACCATGATTGATAATTTGGAACCTACTTTCCTATGGGTCATGGATCATGAACTCGCCCAGAAACCTTGTTCTGCAGACTCAGCAACTTCGGTTATTTGTTCCGTTACATTTCTATGCAGTATGGATTACTGGGGTGGCAGCGGTGGTAGTGGGTGAAGCCCGTGATTCTGCATTTGCTGCCCTTGAAACCCTTGTGGTGGTGGTGGCATTGGAGGCCTAGGTGTAAAGTTTGGCATACCACCACCAACCGGAGGAGGAGGTGGTGCAGGTAGGTTGCCACCAGGTGGCATAGGCCTCGGTCCATTTCCCATTGGCGGAGGTGGCGGCAAAGAACCAGGCGGTGGACCCCTTGGCGGATTTCCCATAGGAGCAGAGGGTGGAGGTGGTGGTGGAGGGACACCAGGAGCTGATGTTCCATTAGTTGCTGCAGCTGATGGAGGTTTATTTGTCTCTGGAGGCTTCGTCTTGAAGTATAATTGCAACTGTCAAACCGTAGATACGACATTAACATCAAATAACACTCGTAAGAGAAATCAAGCTCAAGATCATCTTTTAGCTCCACAAAATCTAAACAATTCACGATATTTCAAAGTTAAAAATATTTCCATTTGACCTTGTTAGAGAGGGAAGGTACACACACACACATATGTATAAAGGATAACTGGAAAGCATAATGAATTGCTAATTGTGTAAGCAGGATAAAAATTCATTGCAAGCCAATAATGAAAAATTATTACCAACTTCTCACCAAAAAAAGATATCCGAAGTTTATGTTTGAATAAAACAGAAATTACAAGTGATGGTTTCAACATTTCTTGCTAATTTGGAGACCCGGTTAAAACCCCCAAAAGGAAAATACTGATATCATAACGACAAGGGCGGTGCCTGATTGGTTTGAGCTTGACTCCAAAGGTCAAAAGTATCAGGAGATCCCAGGTTCAAATCCAAGGAGGAATAAAAATCCCCTTGTGGCCACGGAGGTTCAAATGCGGTGACTCCGGGCTATCTGCGAAGCAGTTGGTCGCCCTGGGATTAGTCGGCTCGCATAGCAGGTTGGATATCCAGGTTAATAAAAAAAAATACTGATATATTATACAATTCTAATTTTTGGGTATAATTTTAATTCAGAATTTTATTATAATTAAAATATTTTAGATTTAAAAATAAGGATGTGAATTAATTTTTAGTTATCACAATCGAGCAGTTTACCCATATTACTAAGGCTAAACATTTATCATGTACTTAATTAGTTAGTTTTATGGAGTTCAAACATGGAGCTGTAAGAAGATATACATATGCAACAGTAACTTGCAAACTTGAATTTTTAAAGATTATGAATTAATAAGCCGTATCTAATGCTTAATAAGTTATTTTTTAAGTGTTTCTACCAAAAAAATTATAATATAGTAAAGATTACCGTAAACATTTTGGAATCAGGATCCCAGTGAGAGAAAAACTTGGGAGTAGATTTATCAATTTCGGTACTCGGAACCTACAAAACAAATTGCAAAGTCAGGCATCCGATAATTGATATCCACCAGTATGGTTACAAGATGGGATAGAAATACCCTGAATCCTATAGTTTCATATGGTTCAGCTGCAAACAGAAGATATTGGTATCTTTTGTCAAAAGATTGGACCCTCTGCCATTACAAAGGAAAGATTCATTAGGGTGTGTAAGAGGAGGATCCAAATTATTTTCCTCTCATGGCACAATAAATAATTACCCTAACATAAAATAAAATAATTAATTGTAGTTACCAAATACAAACACAAAACACGAAGAAATCAGTTCCAATGGTGACACGATTTACACTAACGGTTTTTGTGTTTCACCATTGTTAACCATTAAAAACTCTACCGTAGCCTCTCATTTTCCTGGCAATGATCACGCCCGGTGGTAGAACAAAACGAATCACAGTGGTAGCACTGTGGAAGGTCGTATTTTTTTTACACTAGGATAGACAAATCTAATGGTGGCACAGGCCACCACTATAGCTTTACTTTAAAGAAAGTGAAACCAACAATTTCAAGAAGTTAAATGGAAGCACATATGACTAAAATGACACAGATAAGTTCTCCAGCCTAAGCTTAAGATAAAGCATGCCAACTATTATAAGGGCATAATGGTAATTGCAAACATATATCCTCCGACACTTGATTTTATTAAACAGTTAGTTTTAAATTAGTTAACAATAATGACAACCACCATGCTCTTGGATGAAGGGATAACAATGAGCTATTACTTGTTATAACTTTTGGTCAACTTTTATATGATAATATAGCCTGTTTGGTTGTCAACAAATAAATGGTAACTTCTGTTCAACATAACTATTTACCATGATGCGAATTTTACCCTAGTATAGTTAAAAAGAAGTAATACAAAATGTCATCATGTACCTAGATAATGCAACAATTCAGGTGGAATATATCCACTTGAAATCATGCCCACAACATGATCATGAACAAAATAACCCGTGACCACTTGTTCTTAACCAATAACAACATAATCAGATAGGCAAAACATATGGGATAGAAGGTGAAGAACGGGTGTTTATCACAGGTTATTTGGTGACCGCTATCGGACAACAAAGGTGAATAATGAGTTCATTAAGGAAGCGTTTGGTATGTGGGACATGACAGAACAGAACAAAAACTTGTTGTCTCACGTTTGGCAAGACATTAAACAGGAGACCATACAGTACTGAGTGGGACAAAAAATGCATCTTTTTGTCCCATCCAAATAGGTGGAACAAATATCAGAAGATGAGACAAGATTGGTAAATTACTAAACTATCCATGTCAAATCAAAACCCTAAAACCTTCCACAATTCTATCACCCACCTGCCTCACTCTGGCCCGTCCAATCAACATACTAAATGAACCCTAATGGACAGCATAGGGACATGATGGAAAATGATCATCAAGTCGGGTAGTGGTCACGAAGTGACATGATGGTTGGAACAGTTCTCTTACAAGTTTGCCTAAGTTCAACAATATGCAGGGATGCGTGCAATACATTAGCCTGTCATAAGCAGCCAAAATTGGTGGAATGCATGACAATCAGATTATGGTTGGCATGTATTCTGAAGAGAGGCCAGGGCTTCAGATTTTCTAGCCTAAGATCTAATACCTTCAAGAATCAGGAGGTGCAGAAAAGTGATAGGTTTTTAAGTAGCACTAAATGAGCACATAAGATGGGCTCAAGGGCCAAGAGTAAACCAATAAATACACCTCCTCGACAGTACTTAACGGGACGATAACAAGACCTTAATACGACTTATAAAAGAAACTACATGAGTGAGGCAAGGAAAAGGAGCATGAGTTAGTTGGGATAAAACTGGCAAAACAAACTTTCCTTTATCCTAGTGCCATCAAAATGACCGTTAAAATTGAGACGGAGGACATTTATCAAATGATATCATATTTTGCACATAGCTTACAAAAAACCAGATAAACTCAAAACAATTCATATATTATGAAGCTAACATACAGACAGCCACACCCAACAACACATATAGGGCATCATCTACAACAGGTTGAATACAAGGTTGTGACAGATCTCAACATGCAGGTAGCCACTTTTCAAAAAAAGTTACTGCTTGGAGCAAAATAAATCCGAAGGCCTAGCACATGGAAAATTGGAAATTGGCTTTATGTTAAAAGATCCGCATAGTCATACCAAAGTAAAAATTGGTCACACCTGCTCAAAGGATGACATAAATCGATGTCTTGGTTTTGTATTATCTTCGATTTCAGGATATTCAATCTGCAATTGAAACAAAATGGCTAAATACATAAATACATAAGAAAAATAAGCAGCAAATGTGCAGGATTGCTGATCATCAAGATGGATATAACGAAAAGCATATACATCAATTTAGATAGTCCATGGAGAATGTGTCATTTACATGTTTACATTATAATAAGCATCTCTACAACCTAAAAGTGTCAGCAGTAAGACCTGTATTCTAGTTGGGGCATAAAACACAGCAAACCCAAATCAACCTATAACCATGACCATGGTGGAAAGGGGCCATAATAATGATACTGTTGGTTTTCATTTAAAATCAACAAGGAAAAAACTACAAGATTAAGATATAAACATGATGAATATGTAATAACAGCAAACTTCCCATGTAAAAATGGAGATAAAAATTCATGGTTCGACCATTGAGTTCCTCATAAATTAGAGGATCAGACTGAGAATTCATCTTTATCCAATTACATTTTAGGAAGCCTTGTCTTTGAGCATCAAGTTTCTGATACTTCTTACCTTACTACAGATATCAATTAACAGCTAATAAGCAAATCAACGGTCTTCCATGTTGTGATTCCTTTCCCTCTTTCATATACATAAATTAATCCGTATGGGATGATGAGCAGTTTCACATTGAACCAAGCACAATGCTTGGGCAGACACATATCGTATTTCCAAGTCCCCCAATGTGACAAAATCAAGTTTGTATTCTTTTGATATTTTTTCCATAAACAAACGTCGATGCTCTTGAATCCTGATTTGATTGACCTAAGTAAAATAAATCAATGTGTACTTATGACAAACAATATGCATTCTATTGAGAACAACATTCTACCTGCTACAGGTATAATTAAAGAGCAACACTCTAACTGCTATAGGATATAAAGAGCAACACTAACACATCTGCTAATTCTTGTCAATTGCTATGGTTCTAGTCTGCGATACTACTTCTAAATTATGCAAATTCGTTGTCATTTTCATATAAGTTCACCCTGTTTGACAATCCCATGGAAAGCAACTCCTCAGGAGTTGATTCAGTAAGTAGCTCATTTTAGTTTGTGAAAACAGAGAAATGCTGTTCAATAAATGGAAAGAATAAATACCTGGAATAGCAGAGATCTTTGCTTTGTCTCCGGATCGAACTGCTTTGTCACTCGGTAGCCAGGCCGGCCAATCTTAACTGCACAACCATACAATTGATGTTAGACCACTTTAGGTTACAATATAGAAAGAAAAGTGCTAGAGAAAACTCAGGTTCTCTGTTGATTTTAATGTAAAAAACAACCATTTACAAATATAAAAGGAAATCATATGGCCTACCACAACATGAAAAGATGAACCCAAACAAGAATCCTGTGTAACATGTCCACAAAAAAGAAAAGGGAAAGAAAAAAAAAAACTTGACCTTAACCAAGTTGTATGATTGCTAAACGAGCAGTCACTTCAGTTGCAACTGCAACAAGTAGTAGACATTTCCCACAGAGAAGTTTGAAATTAGCCTGTCTTGGTAAATGAATAGAAATTTTAATTTCTGGAGCATACAATTTTTCTAGCTTAAGATTTGTCAATGTAAACTGACCAGTTTTCTAAAGCTTCACAGTTAGGGTGCTTAAGTGGCTATGACGGCAATCATGGCATTATGCATCCAACCATTGCTACGATTTTTGTGATGCCCACGTCTGTCTGGTTATTAATATCCTTAAATGTTTCGATTTGCAACTAACTACTGAAATAAGCATTTCAGAAAACTAAGCAGGGATCAATCAATATTACTCAACTTGCATTATTAACTGGCTTTGCTAGAGATAGAGGAAATCTTTCCAATCTTTTCCAGGTCATTGTATCAATGTAGTTACATAATTTACAAATCATTATATTCATGCATCTAAACAAACTGCTTATAAACCAAACTGACCCGACCCAGTATATCCCACCTGAACATAAACAAACTGCTTATGTTCCTGCTTAAGCATCTACTTAATCCCTGCCTGGGCGATTAAGCATTAAAAGGTCACTAAATCATCTATATTGTAATATGACTTCACCACCAATATCTCCAACAAAATAAAAGTCTCATAATCATTGATATATATATATATATACACACACACACACACACACATATATATATATATATATATACTTATATGAAAAGCATGTTCTAATAATAATCCAATAAAGATTCCAAGTCCTAGAAAGATTGTTTAACTTATTACCTATAACCTTCTTTTAAAAAAGGTCCATGTTTTAGATAAGGTAAGACTGTTTAAAACTATAACCTCACAATACAAGCATTTTTCAAGAGCACTATAGTTATATTTTTTCTTTCCAATACAACTCCTGAACATACCATATATATAAATATACTTGTTCTTTCCAATACAACTCCTGAAACATACCTCATATATCAACCAATTTTATAGCAATGCCTTCTCTTTGATACTGACAAAAAGACTTTCCTCTTTATCATCATATATTCTTTTTGACTAGTTGCTCTCGTGGTTCACTATCCCACAAAACCTTAACATGCTAGGTTCCACTAGGACGAGCATTTAAAAACTTCAATTGGCGTAGAACCACCCAAGTGAAAGATGCTTAAATTTAAGCACACAGTAATTTGTCTACTAGTATGTAACAATCTGGGTCTAAGGTATTTCCATATCTGATTGATGAGAGCAAAATTACATCCATATTGCACTCACCTGAATCCTAAGGTCTACTGTCAACAGAACTGTGAATTATCACCTACATCTTCAATGCATGAGTTAGACAGGTATCATGACCGCCCACAATGAATGAGTTACTCCCAAGTCTGAACACTCCAAGAAGAAGGTTCCAACCAAAATCAACAAACCTAATAGACTGTCATGCTCACCACTAAAATAATAATTCGAAGATAAGAAAACCAACAGTGCTGATGGTAAACCATGGACTTTCATATCACCTTATTCAACTAATTCAAATACTACTTTTTCCGAAACCACTTAAAAGAACTTCGATATTTTCCCCTCCAGGATATAACCCTAGGAGTTTCTATAAAGTGTAGTTCTTGTGGTGATAGTGAAGTCAAGATACTTCATGTCATCTTCACACTCTAATAAACCAGGAAACTCTTCAGAGGTGGATCCAGAAAAAATCCAAACGGGTGCACAAAATAATTAGCATAATAGTAAATAAAACAAAAATTAATTATAAAAATATTTTTTCATTAAAAATGACAAACAAATGGTTTTTTGCATTATACAAGGGGGGTTTTCCTTTTTTTTACATCTTTTCTATTGCTGTTGCCAAAAATTAAAAAACCACTAATGAGATTCAAACTTGTAACCTTTAATACCACATGCAAAGACTCTCTACTAGTAGGCAACAACCACTTTTTGTTTAATTAGACGAGCAACATCAATTTAAAGCGGATGTACCTCTAAGACACCAAAATCTTTTTCCACTATGTAGGCACGATAGAGCGGGTGCATGTACACCCTCTCTCGTACTTAAATCCCCCCTTAGACCTCTTTCTCAAAAGGGTGAATACGATAAAAAAAACATGCAACACTAACACTTCATTCAAAACTTTTGGGCATATGGAACTTGAATTTTTAATTAACAATTCAGACTAAAAATATTTAGCAAGTTGAACGCATTGTTCCCTCCATCACAAAGTCCACTTGCAGCTTTTGAAGTTGCAACCTTTTTTCAGAACTGAAATTGATATGGATGTTTCTAGATTTTTGTTTTCAAAATGAACCTTGTCATGATTGAGTATAATATCGTTTTGATCTAAAATCATAACATTATCAATTCTCGAAGTCACAAAGTCACATGAGTTAATTTTTAACTTCAAAACTGAGAGAAAAGTTACAATTACAGAACATACCCAAATATAGCAAGTTAGCAACAAAACGATATTACCTGTCTTGCGGAGATTAACTTTACGCTTATGAGGCTGAGGCTGTGCAGGCGCATCTTTCGCCTCGCGAGCAGCTCTCTTAGCCAAATTAGTCTGATGCCGTTTCCCCTGTGTGTGCGCCAAGTAATTCCCTTCATTATTGTGCAGTGTTAAGCACAGTTTACACTCATAGCTGCAAGATAAAGACCCTAGACGTTCATTCATCCGAAAAATACTAATATACACATTGTATTCATTAAAAAATCCTAGGGTTTACCTTCCGAGATGATTGCGCATGAAATAGGGATCTTTGGCAAGATCAATAGTCTCAAGAGCTAGCCTTCGCAACCGCTCACGGCGGTCGATAGCCTCATTTTGGACGGAGGCGGCGCCACCGCTCCCAGGCTTCGAACCCCATTCTCGGTCCATCTCTCTCGGTTTTGCTTCCAATAGTCTCTGCTACTTCAAATCTGTTCGGAACTGATAAGCAGAGTCCCTTTCCAGAAACCACACAAATAGTCCTTCAACTATAAGCAATATCCACTTTCAGCCCCTATGACAAAGACAAATAAATGTTACTTATATTTAATCATATTTTAATATTAAATCCTAGAAACTCACATAATCTAATATTCATGTTCCAGAGACATCCAACGTGACATTCTTATTTTTTAAGGAATGAAATCTGTCAAAAGAATTAGGGACCGTTTGATTCGTAGAATGATTTCTGAAGAAATATAATATGTCAAAGGAATTTGAATATAATATTATCATGTTTGATCAAGTGTTTGGTCGACAAGAATGAAATTTAATCTGTCTAATGAATTAAAATCTGTCTGTTTGGTTCGCAACATAATTGGAATGGAATGATAAAAAAAACAAAAATACCCTTTTTTTGATATGTTTTTAATTTTTTTTAGTTACATATAACAATAAAATTAACATTTAATGAGGAAAAATGTTTACCATTTATTGAATCATATATAAACATAAAACGTGAAAAAAAAATTAACCAACCATAAACCAAACCATTCATTCAAGTTGATACATCAAATACACATATATAAATATTGTTATCAACAAGTGTTTACACATAGTATCCAAGCAATAGGTAACACACAAATATTGTCCAAGCAATATGTAACAAAAATATTGTCCAAGCAATATAGACCGATCATTGGTCTAACATAACCAAAAAATATTGTTTTTACAACCAATTGATCATTGATCTAACATAATCAAAAGATATTATTTGATCATTGGTCAAACATGAAACGGACACGGTTTTCACGTATTTCTTCTTTCAAGCTCCAGAAAGTGATCACCGATATAGAGTCCTTTGTTATCTTTCGCAATGCACAAAACATTTCAGTTTCTGAGAATGTCCCAAACTTCTCAATCTCATCGGCGATCATGGATTTGTTTTTTGAGCATTTCAACTTCCATCAACGATGTCGATGCTTTCATAAGTTTGTCACCAAGCGTAAATGTTGCATTGTTGATTACCTCATGCATAGAATCATTCATGTGTTTCCTTTTCTTGCTACCACGTGTGCACTCTTGACTTTACACATTTGTGTGTGCATGAGAGGCATCATCTTGATCATCAGAAATGTTGTCATGGAATTGATTGATATGGTCTTCCATGCTTGCATTCACAAAGCTCTTCCAAAAAGTTGCATCATAAAGACCAATGTTGGAGGAATGCTGCAACACAGAACAATAGACATACAAGTAAAGATTTAGCTACCCTAATGGTGTAAAGACAAGCAAATCAATTAATTTAGCTCCATGTATAAACAAATGAAAAATAATGTAATAAAAATAACTCAAGATTGGGATAAAAGAAAATAAACTACCTAAAAGTAAAGAAATAAATGTTTTATGTCTTGAATAATCAATGCATATCAATAATATTCTATTTGAGTGTTCATTCACACACATATATACATGCTGCAAAAAACTGACAGTCATGCCATTTCTCACTATCAGGATGAGAAAATGGGTCAAATCGCCTTTCACGAGCATCCTTGGATATGTAACTACTCAATACATCATATTACCTTAGTATGTATAAATTGTCGATGATTAGTTTTCATCTGTTGTTAGGATTGTTGTCAATCGCATATCAGAAATGAGATCTTCAATCAAATTCCTTCTCTCTTTTTCTTATCGATATTATTGTATCTCATATCTCCTCATATTGTTCATCGTCTAATAGGTATTTCCATTCAAATACTCTATCTGATGTTATCCATATATATAATATCGTACAGACATAAGTTTCTAATAGAGGTGTGCAAAAAGTTATTTGATTCAATTTAAACCAATCGATTCAATTAGAATCGATCGACCATAATCGAGTATCCAATTGTATATGGATCGAGTCAGATCCAAAATTTCAACATCTAAATTGGATTAGTCGATTCTTGGATGGTAGCCCATCATCAAATATAATTGAACCGATCCAATCCGATGACCATCCAATTCCCCATCCAATTATCATCCAACTACCATCCAATAATAATTATATATAATTATTAACATTTTACGATATTATTTTGTTGTTAATATTTTTATGTATTGTTATTTTAATAACTTAAGAAAATATATCATTAATTAGTTAATAATTGGATCAATACATTAGATGAATCCAATAAATAACCAATATTAATAATATCCAAACGGATGGAACCCAACCGATCCAATCATCAATCGCATTAGATTGGATCGGATGTCCAATATTACTTGGATTGGATTGGGTGACAAAATCCAACATCCAATGGATCAGATTGGATCCACCTAAATCCATCGGTTTCAACCGATGAACACTTTGTGTAGGTGTTGCTGTACGACCAACAAGTTGAGTTATCTGGCGTACATCGCTTTGATCTGGTGTACAAAACCTAGTATGTAAGCATTAATAATTTACACTCGATATCACTCACAACCTTGAGCATGACCTTTGACCTCACGACCTCTATCATCTATTTGACCTGGGTATCTGACCCTTTGAAGTGGGGTTCAGGTTCATGTATGTCTCCTGAACCTTGAATCTTCATAACAACCTCGTTTTTTCCATTTTAACATCATTTTTTTCATTTTATGAATACTAGCATCCATACTTTACTTCTAATCATATTTACGTAAATTCATGCCCAAATTCTTTCTGTAATTTACTAATCGTAACCCAAAGCATAAAACATCCATTATAAACCATTTTCCAACTCTAAAGCATCAAATATGCTTTCATTTGAATTGACAAACATATAAATGCATCACAAGTCACAGGAGAAACATCAATGCAGGACAACAACATGAATTCTTACCTTGATTCATCAAATTTTCTTATTGACTTCACTGTTTCCCTATGCCTTTCTTTTCCACTTGCGACTTAACTCCCACAACTCTTTTCTCTTTATTTCACTCTTTAACACGTTTCTCCTCCATTGAGGTATGCGATTTCTGTGATATTCATTCTCTTACTGCTTGTTTCCAACTTTGACACCGACATTCTAGTTTGAATGTATCATTCACAAGTTTAATTTGTCCTCTGCTCTTGACTTAAGTACTAAAGTTCACATACTAATGGTTCAAGTTTTAACACCGTGAGGATGAATAGTTGAAGCAAAGTTCTATTGAGTATTGGAGAAGATGAGTGCCAAGCAATATTGGTCACCTCTATCAATTGAACGTATTATAGAAATTACATATACTGGAAAAGGAAAATACATATATACCTANTACTGGAAAAGGAAAATACATATATACCTAAATAAGAATACGAAATAACATCTAGGCCCCTACACATATACAGAAAATACATATATACATTAATATCCCCCCTCAAACTCAAGATGGCGAAGGATGAACCAACTTGAGTTTGGAAACTAAGTCTTGAAACCGTCGGGGAAGATGTGACTTGGTGAAGATGTCAGCAGGCTGATCCGTAGTGGAGATATATTGCAAACAAACCGTCTTGCACATAAGGTGTTGACGAATAAAATGGCAATCGATTTCGATATGCTTCGTTCGCTCATGAAAAACATCATTGTGTGCGATCTGAATAGCACTCCGATTATCACACCAAAGTGTTGTCGAAGAGGCTTGAGGAGCTCCCATGTCAAACAGTAACCAACGGAGCCAAAGAAGCTCCTGGGTTGTATCGGCAAGAGCACGATACTCAGACTCGGTGCTAGATCATGAAGTCAAGGACTGCTTTTTGCTGCGCCATGAAATAAGAGAATCGCCTAAGAAGAAACAATACCCAGTGGTTGACCGACGATTTGCCATATCCCCATCCCAATCAGCATCAGAGTAACCTTGAAGGACAAGTAATGATTTGGAGGAGAAGTGTAGGCCATGAAACATAGTACCTTTAAGGCACCTAAGGATGCGAAGAACAGCTGCGTAGTGGTCGGAACATGGGGCAGCCATGAATTGGCTAACAGTGTGAACATCATAAGCAATATCGGGACGGGTAACTGTCAGGTAGACAAGAGAGCCCACTAGTTGGCGGTAGAGAGTGGGATCGCGAAGTGGAGCACTTGAACCAGGGATGAGATGTAGGTTGTGTTCCAAGGGTGTAGAAGAGACTTTAGTATCAGTAATGCCTGATCKCATAAGAAGATCRGAGGTGTACTTGGACTGGCATAAGTAGATACCCGATGAATCTCGTATAACTTCCAGACCAAGAAAATAATGCAGATCACCCAGATCCTTCATCTCAAAGTTGGATTGAAGAGACTGTTTGAGCTCAGAGATACCCACACTATCACTCCCTGTGATGATCATATCATCAACATAAAGCAAAAGGAGAATAGTACCGACACCTGTAGTGCGAGTGAACAAACCAGAATYATAGTCAYTAGACTTGAAACCCAATGACTGAATAGTGGAACTGAATTTTTCAAACCAAGCTCGAGGCGCTTGTTTCAAACCGTATAAAGCTTTTCGTAGACGACATACATGTCCAGGWGGATGAGAAATCCCAGGAGGAGGTCGCATGTAGACTTCCTCAGATAAATCACCATTGAGAAAAGCGTTTTTAACATCCATCTGCTTAAGTTGCCAATTATTAGCTGAGGCAATAGCCAAAAGAGAGCGAATTGAGGTGATTCGGGCAACAGGTGCAAAGGTCTCTTCGTAGTCAATTCCATATTCCTGATTGAACCCCTTTGCCACTAGTCGGGCCTTATACCTATCAATTGTGCCATCCGAGTGGGTTTTAACCTTATACACCCACTTGCACCCAACTAAAGATTTTCCTGGAGGAAGAGGAACAAATTCCCAAGTTTAGGCCTTATCTAATGCTTGAATTTCGTCATTCATAGCTTCCTGCCATAACGGGTCAATTGATGCTTTCTTATACGAGGTGGGTTCATGATGAGACAACAAAGTGGTATAACAATGAAAATCACGAAGATGAGAGGGAAGTTGTCTTACCCGATCT